TCTGCACAGGCTGGGAAACGTCCGCGTCGGGAAACGGCACCGACGTGGGTATTCATGTAGCCTCCTGAATGGGGAAACGCAGCCCACGTCTTTGCTTCTCCGAGCCGGATAAGCTCCCGGGGGTGATTTGTAGCTGTGACAGGCTGAACAGTGGCTGAGCCGCTCGGCAAGCGGTCAGCAAATTGGTACCTGCGCTCTCAGCGAAGGGCTATCCATCACCGAGCAAGGGGCTGCCGGCTGCTGTTTGCTCGCCTGTCCCCGGGCCCTCGTCCCCGTCCTGCACAGGAACCGTCGCTGTAACGCAGCCGGGGCAGCGCTGCAGGCCGGTGATGGAGCAGGGATGCTGCCTCGGAGCAAGCACGGCACGGTGGCCCCGAAATACCAGGGCTCAGTGGGACGAGGAGGGCTGGAGAGATTTGCCAAGCGGCAAACTGCAGAATAAACCCCAGGCTGGAAAAGCAGCGGGGCTTGGGGCAAGGAGGCATGGACCAAAGAACGGGCCGTTGCAGAGATTGCCCTCATCAGCGACGAGGTCTCGATGTTACTAACCACGAGCTGCTTTTCCCCCGGCTGCCGTTTACACAAACGATAACTGATTTAGAATGAATTGAGCCAATTAACTGCAGTTTTCTTAAGGCAGATGACGACAATACTTGGGTAAGGAGCAGCAATCCCAGCTGCAGCATGGATGAGAGACGCTGAAATGCCCTTTGGGCCCGAGTTTCCAACTCTAGCTTAGTTTCCTGGTCTAGGTCTAGCTTCTTTATCCATTTGTACATGGATTTAGGTGGTAGCAGCTGAGGGCTGGCTGGGTTGAGCAATCTCAAGCCCATGGTGCTGGTGAAGGTGCCAGTATCCTGCCCTGTGTGTGATTATCCATCCTGAATGAATGATACTGGAACGATCCTTGCTCTTTGCAAGCAAGTAGTGCCTGAAAATACCTATGGATTAATGGCAAAGTGAAAAAGAAATAACCCTCAAATGACTTGCAAGGGTGGGAGCTTGGCGATGGGTTTGGAGATCTGCCAGTTCCTCAATCAATGCTCGTGCATATGGGGATTTCATGTATGGGAAAGACCTGGGTTGTCCCAGGGCTACAAAAATGTATTTCCAACCCCAGGTACTGACAGGTTAAGTAACCAAATGGTTACTCAATAAATACCCCAATCTAGTCTGCCTTTTCTAGATCAAATCTGCATGTGAAGCTCATCAGAATTTTAAAGAACAAATAATTGTCGTTGGAAATCTTGTGCTTGTAGTAGGAGGAGCTGTAGTGAAAAGGAAACGTAATGAAGATGAATTAAAGCTTGACCGTGTGAAAACAAGCTAAAGCGTCTTGAAATCCGGTTCCCGTTTGTCTGTCCTTGCAAACCGAGGGGAGCAGGGACGGGCCAGCGCCAGCGGCAGCAGGCTGCGACGGCG